CCCCCCCCGGCGCCCGGCACAATCCCCCAGCCCCCAGACCCAAGAGCAGGCCGCCGTGCCTTTTGTCGGGCCCTGCTCGCCTGTCATCCATCGCCCTCCCCCCCCTGGGGGGGGGGGGCGGGGGCCAGCAGCGTGTTGTGCACGCCGGGGCCCACTGGCATATGCCTGCCATGTGCGTCTCGGCCCCCCGCCACGGGTGGAGGCGCTCGAGAACCGTCCGCATGCGTCCCCATTCGTGTCCGTCTGCCAAAGCACCGCCCACCCAATCCACGCCGCGAAAGAATTTATTACCCGCCGGCGGCCACGACCTTCCGCATATTGGGTGCGGATGGGAGTTCCACATTCCACCCGTTCACAGGCCGCCTCGTTGCCCGAGACAGTGGCATTCCTTCCGGCCGGCCTTCCCCCTAGGTGCCCTCCGTCGGGGTGGGGGCTCGCCGAAGCCCGGCGCATCACCCGAGGCGCCGAATGACACACAACCACATCATCCTTCCTCACATCGCGGCACTTGGCGGGCGTCCCCCCCCCCCTCCCCCCGCGCCCCCATGGCCGTGGTGTGGAATTTGACCGCCCAGTCTGCATCCTCTCCTCCCCGACACAGCCGCGAGGGAGACCGACCCATGCCGGCAGGCACCGGGGCAAGTGCACCGCGCCCGGCGCCCGCCCCGCCCCCCCCCTCCCCCCGAGCGACTGGGCAGCCTGAGGTACGCGTAAACTTGCCCCAAGCGCCCCAGGTCGGACGCAGTGGGGCCTTCTTGCGCCCGGCGCGGCCCCGGGGCGGCCAGAACGCCCCGCGACCGGGTGCGTTGTCACAGGACAGGGGAGCCCCGGGGCCGGGCCCGGCGCATGGTGGTTGGGCCACAGCACCCCGGGACTGGCCGCGAGGCTTGCCCCTTGCCCACCGCCCCCCCCCCCCCCCCCGCTGGTGCGCGCCACACGCCACCCGGGGGTACCGGCCGCCGGAGTTGCCCCCTACGCGCCCAGGTGGGCCTTCCTCTCAGTTACATGTCGATTAACAACAGAGCACGCGGCCGGTGTAACTCTGAAAGCGCGCCAGTTTGCGCCGGTAGCGCCACAGGTTGCTCCCGCGTCGCTCGGGTGCCGCCTCTCGGTCCGGTGGTACGCCCCTTGCTGCTGCTGCTGCTGCTACTGCCACACCTGGCTGCGATCGATCTGCCTGGCGCACCGCGATTCGCTGCCCTCTTTGGGCCCAGGCGCCAGAGAGACGCAAGACCGAACGGAGCATGGGGGGACGGCCGGCGGAGAGACGGGCCCCCGATCAGGGCCGATCTGGCAGCCCCGGCCGCCTCCGCCGCAGCACCGGCCGAGTAACCTCCTTCCGCTCGGCAGTGGTGTCTGGCCTCCTCGATCCGTGTCCGCGATTGTGTGGGGTCTCCCCGGATTTGGGCCGGGCGGGGGAGGGATCGACATTTCCGGGGGCAGCCTGCGCCCTGCGTGGCCCGGCGCCATTTGGCCCCCCCCCCCCCCCCCCCCCCCCCCCCCCCTCCCCTCCCCCCCCCCCCCCCCCCCCCCCCCCCCCCCCCACTCCCCCCCCCTCCCCCCCCCCGTGGTTGCCCTTTTGCGAGAAGGTGCCCCATGAGCGTCGCGCGATACTCTGCGGCCTACTCGTCCTCGGCGCCGGCCGACGAGCAGGTCATCATCCTGGGGGACTCGCCGTCGGAGCTAAAGCGCCCGCTTCTCTCGGCCGACTCGACCCCCGGGCTGAGCAAGCGCCCCCGGGCCGAGCCCCCCTACCAGCCCCTCTCGCAGGCCTTTCTCCCACCGCAACGGAATCTCCTCGGCAGCCTGGACAACGCCTCGCCGGAGGAGCTGGCCGCGCGCCTCCAGGCCCTCAGATGTGTGCGCATCGACCGGGCCGCTGCCGCGGCCCTCTCCGATGCCCAGCTCCTGGAGCACCGGTCCCAGCTGCTAGCCGCACGGGCCTTCATCAGCGATGTCATTTGCGCGGCAGTCGAAGCCGCCCCTTCAACAGGTGGCGGTAGCTCGGCCAGCGCGTCGCGCAGCATCCCGCAACCGGTCGCCGGCCTGATCGCCTGTCGGTGCGTCATGCCCTCTCCCACGTCAATTTCTTTCTTCCTCTCTCTCTCTCTCTCTCTCTCACCTCATGTGTGCATCTTCTCCCACCTTTTCCGCCCCTTACCTGCATGCACGTGTGTATGGCTCTCCCTCCCCCCTCCAGCGAGCAAATCGTCCGAGCCCTGTCCTTCATCTCCTCGACCTCCTTTCAACGTGGCATGTCCCTCGATGTGGATGACGGCCTCCTCTGGCAGTCGGTCCTCGGCAACACACCGGAGGACGACTGGACCGAGAGTGCCCTTTCCTCGCCGAGCTCCGCCCCGAGCATGGAGACTTCGGCACACACCTTCACCAGTACCGAGGAGCTGGTCCAGTTCCGTCGAAGCGACTTCTCCTGGACCACACGCTTGGGCTTGGTCTTGCGAGATGTCTTCGGGTTGCGGGAGTTCCGGAAAAACCAGTTCGAGGCCATCAACGCCACACTCTCTGGCCGTGATGTCTTTGTGCTGATGCCCACCGGCGGCGGAAAGTCCCTCTGCTACCAGGTATGCCAGGGTGCCTTCCTCTCTCCCTCTCCCTCTCTCTCCCTCTCCCTCTCTCTCCCTCCCTCCCTCTCCCTCTCCCTCCCTCTCTTTCTCTCCCTCTCCCTCCCCCCCCTCTCTCTCTCTCTCAATCGCCCTCTCCTGGCCACATGCGCACTTACTTCCCCTTTTCTCGCCTCCATCCCGAGGCAGGCCCCCGCGCTCTGCGGCGAGGGGACCACGGTTGTGGTGTCTCCCCTGCTGTCGCTCATTCAAGATCAGGTGTCCAGCTTACAGCGCCTCCGGATTCCGGCGCTCTTCCTGATTGGCAGCATGACCAGCGAGTCGCGCACATTTGTCACCCGTGGTACGCAGATACCCACCCACCCACCCACACACACACACACACACACACACACACACACACACGCTACTGGGCTTGTCCCTCGGTTTCCTGGTTTCCGCCTTTCCACTGATCTCCCCACCCGCCCCTCCTCGCGGGTCTCTCCCGCTCGCTCGCGATCGTGCTTAGAGCTCTCGTCTGGACGTGTCAAGTTGCTCTATTGCACCCCGGAGATGATTACATCCAGTTCCTTCCTCGGGGAGATCCTCCTCAGCTTGTACAAGCGCAACCTGCTCGCCCGGTACGCCTGTTTTTTCTCTTTGTTTTGACTTCCCTCCCTGTGGCCCCTTTCTTGTCGCCCTTGCTGATGCCCGTCGCGCCAGCTTCGTCATCGATGAAGCCCACTGTGTTAGCCAGTGGGGACACGACTTCCGGCCGGATTATAAGAACCTCCAGCTTCGATCACGCTTCCCAAGTGTTCCGCTGCTGGCTCTGACCGCCACGGCCACCAAGCTGGTCCTTTGTACGATCATTCCATCCCTCCATCCCGGCCTTTTTTCCCCCGCGCGCACTTCTCAGGCACAATCTCCCTCCCTCCCTCCTTTTTCCTTTTCCCTTCTCTCTCTTTCTAATGCTCCGCTCCTGACCGTCCCCCCCCCCCCTCCCTTGCCCCCCCCTTGCCCCCCTTCCCCGGCTTGCGTGTCCACCTGGCTCCCGGCGCCCGTGCCAGCCGACGTCAAGACCCAGCTCAATCTCAATCTCAAAGCGGTCACACTGACGAGCTCCTTCAATCGCACAAACCTGGACTATTCGGTGGTGGCCAAGCCCCGACGGGCAGCCGACAGCATGCAGGAGGTGTACAACATCATCCGGCAGTCTTTCGCCGGGAAGTCCGGCATTGTCTACTGCCTGTCTAAGCGCGAATGCGAAACCCTGGCCGAATTCCTGGTCAAGCAGCGCATTTCCGCCGCGGCTTACCACGCCGGCATGCCGAGCGACGAACGCAGTGCCATCCAATCCGGCTGGATGGCCAAGCGATACCAGGTCATCTGTGCCACAATTGCCTTCGGCATGGGTGCGTCGAGGCTCCTCCCGCCCCTCCCCTCTATTCCGCCCCTCGGCTGCCACTCATGCCTCCTGCACGCCCACCCCCTGCCAGGGATCGACATGCCGGATGTTCGCTTCGTCATTCATCACACCCTTCCCAAGTCTCTTGAGGGTTACTACCAGGAGACCGGGCGCGCCGGGCGCGATGGCCTGCCCTCCAAGTGCATTCTCTTTTACAGCCTGGCGGACTCGAATAAGTTGCGCTCATTGATGATCAACTCCCCGGACCAGCCCCTGTCGCCGGAGCAGCGTGAGGTGGCCAACAGCCTCCTGCTGCAGGTGGTCGATTTCTGCGAAGACCGCTCGGCATGCCGGCGTTCGCGGATCCTAGCCGTACGTGCTGTGTCTCGCCCCACGCGCACGCGCACGCGCACGCACACACGCGCGCACACACGCGCGCACACACGCACCCACAGACCCGCGGCTACATGCCCTGATTGGTCCATCTCTCCCGCTCTCCCCCCCCCCCCCTGGGGGCCTTCCTGTCCTTCCGGGGACCGAACTGACCCTTCACCCGGCCATCCCTCTTCCTCACCTGCTGTCCCTCTATTTGGCCGGTTCCCGGCCTTCCGGTTCATTCTCCTCCCTCACACTTGGTCATGCAGTACTTCGATCAGACATTCGATGCGGCCGAGTGCCAGAAGACCTGCGATAACTGCCGATCCACCGAGACCTTCGTGACCATTGACCTTACCGAGGTCGCTGTGACAGTGCTAAGTACTGGTGCGTCACACCGGATTCCCCAACTGGCATGCACATGTCCATCCTCCTCCTCCTCCTCCTCCTCCTCCTCCCCCCTCCATCATCTCTCTCTGTCTCTCCTGACCTCGACCCGCTCGCATGCCCACACTTGCACATTCATCCACACAGTACGGGCCAATCCCGGGAAATTCACCATCATCCAATTGGCCTCCGAGGTGTCGAAGCAGCAGGGCGGTCCTTCCAGCATTACTCGCAACGAGTATGAACGCCTCATTTGTCGGATGATCTTCCTGGATGCTCTTTCCGAGCAAACCAAGTCCAACTTCCGCCGGCCCAGCCACGCCCCCCCCTCGTCGTACCTGTACTCCGGGCCCAAGGCCCGGTTACTGGAGCAGAAGCAGCTGCCCATCGTGCTGAATATGCCGAGCCGATCTGCTCGAGGGAGGAGGTCCTGACCCGTGACATTCCCCGCCCCCGGATCACGCCCCTGATACGGAAAATAGAACCATAGATTGGCACTCCATTGGCTTTTGCGAGCGACCTTTATACATTCACTGGGCGATACACGCCACTCTTCTGATTCTGACAAGGGGGATGAAGGCGGGGGCCCCCTATTATCAGCCAGTCGTCCGGCGGCCCGCGCTCCGGTCCGGGCCTCCCCCCGGAGGGCGGTGCTGGCGGGGGCCGGGGCGCACCGAGGGGATCTGGGCGGCTCCGGTGGCGAGCTCGGGGGAGGGGGGGGGGAGGGTTTTCCGGCGGGCGGACCCGAGCACATTCCTGGGACCAGTAAGTTCCCCACAAATCGGCCCCAGGCGCCGCGCATTCCTGCCTTTCACTCATTCTGCACCATTGTCTTTTCCTGTGGCTGCCTCCTTTCGGCGGGCGCGCGGGACTGGCCCGGGGGCATCGGGGGTGGGGGGAGGCTCGGTCCTGCATTGGTGCTCTTCCGAGTACGGTCTGCGGGCGTGTGTGCTCTCTCTCTCTCTCTCTCTCTCTCGGGGGCGAGGCTGGGTCAGTCGGCCCCGGCAGGGGCACCAGCCAGGGGTAAACCCTGGGAGCCAGCATTTCCCGTATCTCGGCCTGCGGAACCGTGCGGGGGGCGGTGGGCGTGGGGCAGTCTTGCGGGGGGGGAGGGGGGGCGCGGTTGCCGGCGCCTGTGCTCTTATTTTTTCCCCTCCCCCGCTGGCCGGGTGCTGGCTTGGAAAGCGGGGGGCTCAACAGTCGCACCGAGGGAACACGGTTGGTGGATATGCCGCCCGGACCGGGGGTCGCATCCCGCTCCCAGGGGCCCCGAGACGGGGCAATGCCGCGCGAGCGCGCTCGGGACAGCAACCCGGCCAATCTTGCTTCATTCCCTCACACCCGGCTCCCTATCTCCGTTGGAATCCTAATCAAGATAATTCGGCGCGCGCACTCTGCGGGGCTCACCTTGAGACCGGCGCGGGGGAGGGCTCCCCTGCGCTTGCTGGGGGGACCTGGCCCGGGGGCGCTCCGCAGGGGGGGGGGGCGGTGGTCCTTTGGACCCGGCTCGGCGTACACGGGGCGAGGCGCGCCCTTGCGACCTCCACCCCTCGGGCTGACCCCGCGCATAGGCGACCCAGTATCGACTACGTGCGGCGTGCCACTGGCGGAGGGGTTCCCCCACCTCCCCCGAGCCGCGGTCACCGGGTCTCCTTTATCGCCGTGGCGATCTCGCCCCGCGTTCGGGGCCTCTGCCGCGCAGCAACAGGCGCCCGGTAGCCTGCCCCGAGCCGCGGCCCGGAGGCACAGGTCCCCCCGCCTCCTGAGGCGTGTTATCTGTTGCCCCCGCCGGCTCTGGGTGTGCGTGTGTGTCGCCGCCCGGCAACAGACCGCCCCTTCTCCCCCAGGGGAAACCCGAATCCCAGGCACTCGCCTGGTATGGCGGGGGGAGACCCGGCGAGAGCGGAGGCCGAGGGGGAGTGCCCGGAAAAAGACACACACACACACACACACACACGCAGAAGGGGGTATGGCTGGGCTGGGGAGGGGATCGTGTGAGCCGCGTCCCCGGCCACCAGTACCAACGGCACGCCCCTGTCCGAGCATCTGGAGGACTTTTTTTTTTAAGATATCACCCCCCCCCCAGCGTGCAGCCCGCCCCAACCACCCCCTGCCGGTCCCTGCCGCCCCTTCTTGCCTGCTCTCCCGCCGCGCCTCCTCTATCTCTCCCTTGCTTCTTGCTCCTACCCGCGCGACAGCCGCCCCCGCATCACCGCCGGGCCGCCCTACCCACTACCCACCCCGACCTCACACCTCCATCTCCGTAATCTTATCTGATTTTCCATGTACGTCACTCGCCGCGGCCTGGCTCGGCCTCACTGGGCTCCCCCCCCCCCCCCACCCCCCCCCCCCCTCACACCTCCTCCCCCTGCCTCAGAATGCGTGCATACGCATGCGCATGTGTATGTGTGTATGTGTGTCTGTCCGGCTCCCTCTTCGGAGCTGCCCGGCTGGGCGCCGCCCGTGCCCGTGCGGGGGCGCGGTGCGATGGACCTCTCCTCTCCCCACCCTCTCTCCCTCCCCTCCCCCCCCCTGGCAAGACCCCGCCCCCTCCCCATTCTGCTCCTCTGTGCCTCCCTTCACCCACTCCCTGTTTCCCCTCCCCAGCGGGGCCACCAAAACCCCCTTGCGCGTGCCACCCCCCCCCCCCCCCCCCCCGGTCGCCTCCCCCCTTGCCTCCTCCTTATCCCTCCTCTTGCCTCCTTTTGCCTTTCCTCCCTTGTCAGATATTTATTTGAGTGCCCCTCGTCCCTGGCTGCTCCTGTCTGCAAATGACGCTATAGCCTCTGTTTCATCCCTACCTGCCTATTCCTCCCTCCCTCTCTCTCCCCCCCCTCATCTCCGCTCCACATCCCCCTGTGCACGGATAGAAGCATCACCATCCCCCCCTGTCGGCCCCTCCCTTCCTCCTCCCCCTTCCTCCAAAGCCCGGATCTGGCTGCGCACACGTGAGAGAAAGACCCACACATACAGACACACACACAGACGTAGGCCTGCTCGGCGCGTCACTCCCCTCCCTCTTGCTCCCCCTCTCTGTCCTGGTACATCCCCCTCCCCTCGCCCCCTCTCCCTCCCTCTCTGTCTGTCTCTGTCTCTCTTGCACTTGTTTGATTGGATCTGTGTCTTCCCTCCTTCGCGGCTGCCAGATCCCCCGCCCTTCCTTCTCTTTTCCCCTTGTCAGCCTCTTGTCTCCCCTCGCGCCCATGCGCTCTCTCGCCTCTTTGTTCATCCCTCCGCGCGCGCACGCGCCCCGCCTTCCCTGTTTGTCAGTGTCGCGCCTTCTGCCCCACTAACCACGCCCCCCTCCCCGCTCCCTCCCTCCCTCCTTCCCTCCCTCCCTCTCTCTTCCCCCCCCCCACATCTCCCCCTTTCTCCCCATCCTTCCCCAGTGTTTGTCCGGTCTCCCTTCTCCCTCCCTTCCCACCGCCTGACGCAGCCGTGCGCCCAGCCATGACCGTCAGCGCCCCCCCGACAACCAGAAGCCCCGACCTGGGCAGCAGCTCCCCCCAGGCGCCCCCCTCGCGCGAGCGAGTCAAGCACCTGGCTGGGAAGCTGTTCGATGATCCGGCCCAGGCCGGGTCGCCGACCGGCGGTGGGTCCCCCGGCAGTGCCAATGTCGCCGGCACGCACTCGCCGTCGGCCCTGCATGCGCGCGAGCGCGAGGCCGTCTCCTCGACCGCCCGCAGTGCCATGAAGTTCTGGCAGACGGCCGGCACGTCGGCCGACAATTCCCCCCTGCCGCCGGTGACCCCGGGTGGGGGGGATTCCGTGCCGCCCTCCCCCTCCTCCGGGCGCCTGGCCGCCCTGACCGCGGCCTTCGAGAATCCCTCGCCCTCCTCCTCTCCCTCTGCGCGCCGTGCCCCGGCCGCCGGGTCCCTGGTGTCGGTGGCCACTCTGTCGGCCTCCTTCTCGCCGGTGTCCCTGCCGCTGGATGGCGCTGCCGGGGCCGGAGCCCGGGCCACCACGCCGACCACGCCCTCCGGCGGGTCGACATCGGGCGCCATGCCGATGGAACGGTCTTCCTCGCAGCGGGCCTCCCGCCGGAACCTTCCCTCCAGCATTGTCACCTCATCGTCGGATGTGGATGCTGCTGCTGCTGCTGCCGGGGTCAGCGGGGTGCCGCACACTCCCCGCTCGGCGCAGGCCAGTCACCCTCCGACGCCCTTCTCGGCCTCGGCCGCCACTGCCACCGACAGTGGTTCTTCCCGTCGCCCTGTGACGCCGGTGGCGGTGGCAGAGGCCCCGCACGAATCCTTCGCCGCTGCCACCACCCGCCGGCGGACCTCCTCGTCGGCCTCCTATTCCTCCATCTCCTCCTCCTCCTCCATCTCCTCCTCCTCCTCTTCCTCCTCCTCCTCCTCCTCCTCTGCGGCCCGTGGCCCCTCCAACTCTTCGCTCACCTCCTCCTCCCATGGGTCCTCCTCCACCAACTCGGCGACTTCCGACCGCGCGCGTGCTCGCCGCGAACGCTCTCGCCGCCCGCCCCTGCTGGTCAATGGCGTCCCGGCCTCCGGCCGCGAAAACCCCGATGGCTCCCTGTCGCACGAAGCCGCCGCCATGTGCCTTGGCATTTCCAACCTGCCCAACCAGCGCCACAGGCGCGTGGCCAAGAAGGGCGCCCACCTGACCATGGTGCTCGTCGGTGCGTAGCCGGTCATGGCGCATCCCCGTCCCTCGTTCTCCCTTTGCTCGTCCCCCCTCCCCCCTCCTTCTCCTCTTGGGGTCATCCCATGGAGCCATCTGCGCTTTTCCCCGCCACCGCCCTTGCGGCCGATGATGCTGATCCTTTGTGCCTCTCTTCTCCCTCTTTCCCCCCATCGACCGGCGAATCCTTTCGCCGGTCTGCGGATGCCCTTGTGTGTCTCTGTGATGCGATGCCCGTGTGTGTCTCTGTGATGCGATGCACTTGTGGGTGCCTCGCCTCGCCGCCTCCCTCCCTCTTCCTGTCTCTCTCTCTCTCTCTCTCTCTCTCCTCCTTCCAGGCCCCTCCGGTGTTGGCAAGTCCACCTTCATCAACACCCTCTTCTCCACGCACCTGATGACCCGTGACCACTCGCAGCGCCACAAGAAGGCCACCCTGCCGGCGGTGGCCGAGGGCGACGAGGCGGCCCCCGAGGCCGAGGCCGCCACCAACATGCTGACCATCATCGATGCGGACTTCATCGAGCGCAACTTCGACCTGCGCCTGACCCTGATCGACACCCCGGGGTTTGCGGATCAGATCGACAACACCTCCAGCTGGGACCCGATCGTCCGGCATCTGGAGAGCCAGCTCGAGGGCTACCTGCATGATGAGCTGCTGGCCGACCGGAGCGGGCTGACCGACAACCGTGTGCACCTGTGCCTGTACTTCATTGAGCCACACTCGCATCACCGTGAGAACAACATCGCCCGCGAGGACACCGCCTCCGAGGCCAGCGACAGCGAGGAGTCCCTCGCCGCGGCGGCCCAGGCGGCCGGCGGCCTGGCATCCACCGAGACCGGTGGCCTTTCTCTGCTGGACATTGTGTCCATGCGCAAGATCGGCCAGCTGACCAACCTGGTGCCGGTTATCGCCAAGGCCGACACCCTGACCCCGAGCGAGCTGGCCTCGCTGAAGGACCGCATCCGCCAGCAGATCGCCGCGTACGACATCCCGGTGTACCGTCCCCCGCCGTCGGATGACGAGGAGGCTTCGGACTCGGCCGAGACCGATCCGATCCCCTTCGCGGTCATCTGCTCGGAGGAGTTTGTCGATCTGCCGGACGGCCGGTCCGTTCGTGGCCGGAAGTATGCCTGGGGTGTGGCTGAGGTTGACAACCCCGAGCATTGCGATTTCGATCGCCTGCGTTCGCTGCTGCTGCGGTGCGTGTGCTTGTGCCTGTGCCTGTGCCTGTTGTGTGGGCGTTCTTCCGTTGCATTCTCTCCCCCTCTGCCTTTCTTTCTCTCCTCCTGCTTCCCCCCCATGGTCGTCTCTTCTCTGTTGTTGTGGCGTTTTTCTGATTCCCTTCTCGCGACATGTGCTCCCTCCTCCTTCCTCCCCCCCCCCCCCCCCCCCCCCCCCCCCCCCCCGTTGTTGCCCACTGCTCCTCCGGTGTGGCACGATGTTGATCCATGGCTCATCCCCCTCCGTCCTGGCACACAGCACCCACCTCTTTGACATCATCCACCGCACGGAGGTCATCCACTACGAGCGCTTCCGCAACCAGGCCCTGCTGAAGCTGAATGTCCAGCCGGGGAAGACCCTGGAGGAGTCGCTCGAGGCGTACAACAGCGACATCAATGACCGCGAGCATCAGATCAGCCTCGAGTTCAGCACTCGCTCGGACAGCGTCCGCTCGGATTTCGAGATCAAGAAGAACAGCATCATCGAGGAGATCAAGCGCCTGACCGCGGCCGAGTCCATGCAGCATGCCACCATCGCCGACCTCGAGTCCCAGATGGGCCAGCTGGTGGAGAAGTACAACGCCATCGCCCTGAAGAAGAAGTAAGCGGCGTGCGGCTGTGCGCGTGTGCGCTCGCAAGCGGTGAAAGAGATGGCAGAACCGGGGGGCGGGCATGAGAAAGAGCGAAGGCACCGCCGTCGTGTCATATCATCTCCCAGGCGCCCACCAGGGCGAGGGGGAAGGCCAGAGAGCCAGAGAGAGTGCGAGAGAGAGAGAGAGAGAGAGAGAAAGACCCCCGGCGGGGGATGCAAGGTGATGGATGCGTCCCGAGGGACAGGGAAGCCCCCCGTCCCTCGACCATCTTCCGCCTTGTTCTCTCTCCTCCTTCCTCCGATGGAGAGGGGTCCATCTCCTCCCCACTCTTCCTGGCCTTCCTTCCTGCCTCTCTCGCTGTCTTCCTTCCTGCCTCTTCGTGCGCGCGCCATCGCTCTTTCCTCTCCCTCATTCTCCAGGGCTCTTCGCATGTGCGAGCCTCCGGGGATGCGGGCCAGGCAAGTTTGCCGTTGGCTTTCCGCCTCCCTGTTCCCCCTGCCATATTCCCCCCCTCCCTCCCGACAACCGCCCGAAAACATGTACATTTTTCCCTCCCCTCTTTCCTCCCCCCTGTTCCCTCTCGTTCTATTTCACAACTCTAGCGCTGCAGGCACACATTTGCCCCCCTTCCCTTTCTCCCTCTCCTACCTTTCCCTTTCCTCTGCTTGGCGCTTGTAATTTTATAAAATCCCTGATAATTTCTCCTGCTTCTTGTGTGAGTATGCCCCTTGTGAGAATATCTCTCTCCCTCTTTCCTCTCCTCTCCCTCTGTGCTTGCCTGTTGTGTGTCGGTACATTTGTGCCTTCTGTATTTTCCAGCACACCTGTGTCCATCCACATGTGTCCGATGGAAAAGCGGCAAGGAGGGGGGGGGGGGGCGGGCTAGAGAAAAGCGTTGACCGCCCGTGAAATCCCTCCCCCATTCGCCACCTCCCGGAAAAAAACGAGAACGAGTGCCGGACATGATGTGAGGAGCCCAGCTGTGGCGAAACTGTGTCAGACAGCACATGGAGCGCGCGCGCGCGCGCGCGCGTGTGTGTGTGTGTGTGTGTGTGTGTGTGCATACGCGCGTGCACATGTGTGGGGGCGGATAGATGGGTGCACATGCAAGGGTAAAAGAAATGTGGGTGTATGATACAGAAGGGGAGCATGGGAGGGAGGCAGCTGAGAGTGCGTGTGTATGCCTGCGCGTGTGCATGTGTGCATGCGTGCGTGTGTGTTTGTGTATGTGAGCCACTGGGAGGAGGAAGAGAGGAGGCGCGTGAGAACCCCGCACAGGGTGTCCGTCTTCAGGCCGCTCTCTCGTGTTTTTTTTTCTCCCCACGCTCCCCGGTGTCCCGTACTTCCCCCGACGCTCTGGGGCGTGCACTGGGCCCCGGCGAAGGGGAAGAGGCGGACGCGTGGGCACACAACATTAGCGGCGGCGCTGCTGATCGCCAGCCTGGGCGGCCCCGGCGGCCCCGGCAGCGGCCCCGGGATGCGCGTAGCGCTGCTTCTTCTCGGCCGGCTTGAGGATCTGGAAGGAGCAGAGCAGGCTCTCATCGATGCTCATCATGGCACCGGCATTGTCGAACTCCCCGCAGTAGTTCGGCGCCGAGAAGAGCGTCACCAGTTGCCGGCGGGCGAAAAACTCGTAGCCATCCTCGACCACCTGATGCGCGCGGCAGATGAGGTCCATGTCATGGCGGGCCAGGAACTTGGCCACCACGTCCGGGCCGAAGGTGAAGGATACACCACGCTCATTCTCGCCCCAGTTCTGGGTGTCCTTATCGGGG